ACCTGTTGGGCTCCAGCGATCCTTCTGCTTCAGCCTTCCAAGTAGCTGGGACTACAGGCACCCTTGCCCGGCTAATTTTTTGATTTACTGTAGAGATGAGGTCTCGCCAAGTTGCCCAGGCAGTTCTCGAACCTGCGGGCTCAGGCAATTCACTCACCTCGGCCTCCCAAGGCGCGGGATTACAGGCTGAGCTACCGAGCCCTTTAAAAAACTGGCTATTTTGCCAGTTTTTTGCTTAGGAAATGACCATCTTTTTTTTTTTTTTGAATTGGAGTCTCACTCTGTCGCCCAGACTGGAGTGCAGTGGCTGCTCCTGGCCACCGCAGCCTCGACCTGCTGGGCTCCGGCAGTCCTTATGCCTCAGGCTTCCAGTAGCTGGAACTATAGGCGTGCGCTACCACGTCCGGCTAATTTTTTGCTTTATTGTAGAGATGAGGTCTCGCCAAGTTCCCCAGGTGGGTCTCGAACCCACAGGCTCAGGCAATTCACTTACCTCAGCCTCCCAAGGCGTGGGATTACAGGCTGAGCCACCGAGCCTGGCTAATGACCATCTTTAGTCCTAACTTTTTTCATCTAAAAAATAGGGTGTAATGGTACCTCCTTAATAGTGAATTGAGGGGATTGAGTGAGATAATATATTGACGTGCCAGTGTAGCACCTGGCACATGAACATTCAATAAGTGGTAGCTGTTAATGAAGTTTAGCTGGGCGTGTTGGCGTGTGCCTGTAATCCTGACTGACTACTCAGGAGTCTAATGGCAGGAGGAGCTCGAGGCTGCAGTGCACTATGATTGCACCTGTGAATAGCCACTGCACTCCAGCCTCGACAACATAGTGTGACTTTGTTTTGAATGAATGAATGAATATCTGAGCATTTCAAAGAAATGATGAGCTAGCATAAGATTATGTCTGGAAAGACCTATGTGACTTTGATCTATTGAGATTGTTTCGCTTGATACTTTTTATATTAACAAATACAGTATGTACAAATATAGTTCAAACAGTGGAAATAATGCAAATATACGTACAGAAAAAATTATTTTTTCCCCTCCCCAAATATTAACTGGAATTTATTCTTTCATACTTTTTCCTTGCTCATATAAACATATTTGCACATCAATTGTAAGACCTTTGTTTTTGCTTTTAGTAAAGGCTGTCAGATTCCTTTCCCAAAAGGCCATAACAATTCCCATTTTTACAGGAAGTGTATGACAGTATCTCTTGACCCACATTCTCCCTCTTCTCTATCAAGCAGTATTTGTTCTCTCAAATTTTCCTGTTTGATGAATGAAAATGGCACTTCATTTTTTTTTTGAGTTGGAGTCTCACTCTGTCACCCACGCTGGAGTGCAGTGGCACGTTCACGGCCACCACATTCTCGACCTGCTGGGAGGCGATCCTTCTGCTTCAGCCTTCCATGTAGCTGGAATTACAGGCGTGTGCCACAGACCTGGCTAATTTTTTTATTTTTTGTAGAGATGAGGTCTTGCCAAGCTGCCTGGGCTGGTCTCGAACCCGTGGGCTCAGGCAATCCTCTCAATTTGGCCTCCCAAAGTGCTAAGATTATAGATGCGAGTGACCACGCCCAGCCTGGTACTTCATTTTTAATTTATTTACATTTCTTACCACAGCTGAGTTTGATTGTATTTTCCTTTGTTGACAGATCATCAGATTTTTTTCTTTGACTTGTTCATTCACATACTTTGTTTCATTTTGGTTGTCTTATTGTATAAACTTGCTTTATAGTATATATATATACCAACTTTTTTTTTTTGAGTTGGAATCTCACTGTCGCCTAGACGGGAGGGCAGTGGCATGCTCACGGCCACTGGAGCCTCAATCTGCTGGATTTAGGCAATCTTTCCACCTCAGCCTTCCAAGTAGCTGGAACTACAGGCGTGCACCACCACACACGGCTAATTATTCTTGATTTATGGTAGAGATGAGATCTCGCCAAATTGCTCAGCCTGGTGTTGAACCCCTTGTCTCAGGCAGTCCTCTCTCCTTGGCCTCCCAAAGTGTTGGGATTATAGGTGTGAGCCACTGCGGGTAGCCACATACAAACTCTTATCTGTCATCTGAATTGCAGTTTTTTTTTCTAAATTTTTTGTCTGTTTATGGGAACCTTTGCCATGCAAAATGTTAAATTTTTATATAATCAAATATATTTCTCTTTGTTTTAGGGCCTTTGGTTGTTTTCTCTGGGTTAAGGTCTTCCCTACTCTAGATTTTATATGTAGGGTTATAGATTTTCTTTTAAGGTTTTGTTTTCTAAAAACATTTTTAAAACATGTATTAGTATTTGCTTTTATATGTGATATAAGAGAGAAAGTGTAACTTTTTCCTCCTTAATGCGAGTTGTCCATCTTAGTATATTAAATAAATTCCCCACTAAATTGGCATGCCATCTTTATATCAGTGGCCTTACAGTAAATTAAAACTATATTTTACATTTGTCTTGAATCCATCTGGAATTCATAAACTTTATTAATTTTTTTTTTTGAGTCAGAGTCTCACTCTGTCGTCCAGGCTGGAGTGCAGTGGCATGCTCATGGTCACTGCAGCCTCGACTTGATGGGCTCCGGGAATTCTTCCACCTCAGCCTTCCAAGTAGCTGGATGTGGTAGCGCACGCCTGTAGTTCCAGCTACTTGGAAGACTGAGGTAGAAGGATCGCCAGAGCCCAGCAGGTCAAGACTGCAGTGGCCATGAGTGTGCCACTGCATTCCAGTCTGGGCGACAGAGTAAGACTCCGACTCACACACAAAAAAATTTTAGCTGGGCTCGGTGGCTCAGCCTGTAATCCCGCGCCTTTGGGAGGCTGAGGTGA